TTAAAAAGGAAGAGAAATGTTCAAAGGCAACTCAGTAATAACAGTGCAGTGATCTAAAAAGATGGCCAACATCAATTAGATACTTTCTAATAAATAAATGCATCAGTATATTTTAGCTTTATAAACACGATCATTTTATTGTGTGAATTTGTCAATATTGTATGGCTAACACACATTTTCTTACCACTATACCACAGATGATACAGTAATACATACTGCACACTCTTGGTGTGCTTGACAACTAGATTTGGTCAAGAATACAAATTAACTGCTTGACTTTTTTTGTGTAGCAGACGTCTTACAGCCCAGCCAGTATTCAGCAATCGAGCGAGGGTAACGAGGATAGGTGACGTCCACTCTCTTTGTCCGGAGGTTGACACGATAATATTTATCTGGTATAAAAATAAAAACACATTTCATAAGATGAGGCTTTTATTTAGATGGTTAAAAGACAATATTTTCTATTGCTTTCTATGTCTGTTCTACACTACATTTGATCCATAGTTGTAGGTATGTCTAATATATCAATATGATCATCAATTGATCACTCATGACAAAACCAATCGAACTGCAAACCAAGGACCCTCCATTCGATTGATTTAGTGAGCTCTTGATCCATTTTGACTTTGACAAGTAGATGGACCATGACAGAATTTTGTCTATTGCTTCTGATCAGTTGGACAAATATGTGCCTATGTGATAGAAAACTGATCATAACAGGAATCATTAAAATAGATTAAGATTTATGACTGACAGATCATATTTTCAACTGATATTTTCAGTCGATGGCAAAGTGTGAACCAAGACTGTGTGTGTTGCATTGCTCATATCTTTAAAAAAAATAATACCATTGTAGTTGGGCTACCCTTTAAGAGTTAACTGCTCATTAATGTCTAGGGGACCTATGTTAAGGACATTTGCTTACCTGATCTCCACTCCCCTCGTGGTCACTATTAACTTCTCTCCTAATTGTGAACTGCCCTTGGTGTCCTTCTATATAATGCTGGGCTATGGATCATGCATGGTATGTGATGACATTAGCAGGCCTCTGACGGCCAAAGTGAAGGGGGGCAGCAGAGGCTGCAGGTACTGGTCTTGGAGCCAGTGGGATCAGGGAACAAGTAAGTAAAACTCATGGGTAGATTTTTATTTTACCTGAAGATAGGCTTTAATCAAATCTTACAACAATGCTTTTCTCAAGTATTGTTCTCTCATTATATATGGGATCCTCAGCTTTTTCAGGTCTGCGCGGTAAGGCTCAGTGACATCTACAGGAAGCAGCCAGAAGCTGAGGTGTTAGTTAAGAATTTTTTACATTTTTTTCAGGACTGAAGCATAAGTAGACCTTGTATTTTCATGCAATGTCTGCTCTAATTCTTAACAAGACATTATCAATTAGAGATATACAGTAAATGTTGAGTTTCTCTCAGTTCCTATATAAGTACTTCTAGATTGCATAGGAGTGTATTTAATATTATGGTTAGCCTTGAGAAGAAGCCCTCCTGCTTAACAGACCTGCAGAAAATGCTCCTGTTACAATCCAACCTACCATTTTTAAAGAAGAAAACACTCTGAACGGGTTGGCACTTGGGCTGGCTATCAGGGGGAAGCCAGTCAGGATCATCTTCATAATCATCATAACTGAAAAAGTCCTCCGTAATTTCATGTTGGAATGGATCAATCCTGCTGGGCCTTCTCCTACGGCTCTTCCTTCGCTTGCTCTTTCTCCTCTTGCTCCGGCGCAATACAGATTGTTTCTGCTGGGGTACATAAATTCTGCTTGGAAGTACAGCATCCACTCCATTAGGTACCCCTCTCCAATCCCTGAATATAGATCTAGGTCCTGCACTGCTACCTGCATGGATAATTATTTGCATTAATAATGGATGTACAAGTCAGACATTTATTTTTCAGTCTATATGAAAACATTTAAAGCCCAATGCCAGCAACAACTTATTCATTTCATTTTGGATAAACTAGGGAAGGGTTAGAGCCTCTCAGCAATTTATTGTCTCCTGGTTACCTGTTGGGGAGATTTTCCCTCACTTCCTGTCAGGACAGGAGCAAAAAAACAGACAAAATGAAGATTTCAAAGGCTTTTTTGGATGTTCTCCAACACTCCAGGCTTCTGACCTTAAACAAAGGCTTCTGACCTTAAACATATTTACGTTGGAAGTAAGGAGATTAAGGGGGGATGTGATTTTCATGTACAAGATGTTCAATGGTGACAGCAACATTGGCAACAAACTGTTTGAGATTAACTCCATTACAAAGACTAGAGGCCACCACCTAAAGTTGGTGGAGAAAAAATTCCAGCACACTGGGCGAAGAGGGTTCTTTACAGTAAGAGCGGTTAAGGTCTGGAACTCACTGCCATCGGCAGTGATTTCAGCCAAGAGTGTAGATTTGTTCAAGAAACGTTTGGACAATTTCTTGAGGGACGTAATATCCAGGGATACCAGTATCCCTAACAATGAGATGATGCGTGGACCTATATGGATTGGACTTGATGGATGTATGTCTTTATTCAACCCCAAATACTATGTAACTATGTAACTATGTAACTTCCCAACCTCCCTTTCCCTGGCACAATTATGGAGACCACTGGTTACGGCATACCACCTGCACAGTGCTCCAGTTAACAGTGCTGCTCAGTTGCAGTCTGCAGCTACCTCGACTATTAATAAGCAGTATCACTCTGTTAAGATCCTCTTTGTGCCCTCCTTCTCATGTAAGCTGCCTAAATACACCCCCTCCCCACCCCCCTTTTACCTCCAGCTCCCAGTGCCTGCAAACATAAAGCTGCCCATACACCTTGTGATCATCAGACGACACTTTTTGTCCGATGATTGAACCTTTGTACGATTTTCGTATGGCGGCCCCATCCTGCCCTGATTATTGCAAGGTTGGATCAGCGGTAATTAGAAGAAAGCACCTGGACGAATTGCGGTAATCGAATGCACATATTTTCGTCTGTACATGTGCACTGTAATCATACCAATTTTGACGTACGGAAACGCCACCAACCTTGCGAAATTCGTACGATCGACCAAAGTTTTCTAACCTGCTGGTTAGTCAAAAGACGATTGCTTGTAAAGTATTTGCGGTTGTACACTGCCCATCAACCTTACGAATATTGGACGAAAACGCGATCGCAACCGAAAATCGGCCGATATTCGAAGGTATATGGGCACCTTTAGACTGGCAGCACTATTCATTGCAGTACAGGCTGATCAGCTCACTGTATACCTATTTAGGCTAGTTTTTGCGGTGCAAGGGATTGTTGAAGGATAATATAAAGATACACAACATGCCGTTATACTAGCATTGCTTTATTAACATGATTGGTTTAACATTCATATAACAGGTCTACAGCTTTTTATTAATGTTTGCCTGGAGTTTTGCTTTAGGTTTATTGAACTGTCTAGAAGAATGTGAAGAATAATGCCTGTATTTTCCAAGCCTGCTGACACATTCCGGGAGGGTTGGATTATGATGTCGCCCTCTGCACTCTGTGGTATCCTCTGTTGGCCCCAATGTCATTGCATTACACAGCAGTGGGGCCGGAACGTAACACAACAGGGGACCAGGCATTTGTCACACAAGCAGCCTTCCCTTTTCGACACAGCAAAGTTCAGTGGTGCAGGCAGCATGACAAGTACGTTTTTTTTCTTATCTTTGCGGGAATCTTTTTTTTTTTTTCAGTCTTTTTAAATGGCAACGGAGTTTCTTTTATAATTATTCTACTTTATGCTGTGTGCTGTAAAAAACATTTCAACGTTCATACAGATCTGGGAGGACAGACCTACCTGTGAACCAATCCCCAACTAGTAGACGGAATATATCTTCCCAGCTGTCATCTTGCAACACTGCATATCGTGTGAATAGCTCTGATGGGGATGAGCCAAGACACTCCTGTCTGGAGGGTTGGTGAGTGAATTCATACTGCCAGTACTGTCTGCCTGTGGAGACCATTTAAAGAAAAGGATTAGGAAGAACAGATTTTAGAAAAACCTACAAAAGCTGAAATTCAGTCTGTATATTTTCCTTCCCTGGTTCCTCCCTGCTCCCCTTTATAAACATGCTAACAAAATAAAACTTTTCCATTTCCATTTGTAGTCTCTGTGCTTCTCTATGCAATATTAGCATGGTGGGGTAGGGGGGTCTGGCAGGATGCTGTACATGGCAGTCTGAAAACATTTCAGTATACCTCTCAAGGACCCTCAGCCTTGATGCAAGCAGCATGCTGTTTCTTGGGAGGAATTATGCAGCCTCCATTACTGAAACTGAAATCAAATTAATGAAAGGGCTAGGCTAGGGACAGTAAGGATGGGGAGGAAAGAGGTACATGATGCTGGACATGCTCCAGCTAGGAAACGAGACAGGCTCTGTCTGATTTCCTGCAGCTTTTTCTACACACTGTGAAAAGCTCAAAGTGTGCAATTAAATTAGAGGAAGCCAATTCAGTAAAGGAGACTGTACAACTGTGCAAGACTAATGGGATGGCTGAAGTTCGGCTTTAAACTGTGAGTACATACAGTCATATGTGTGCAAAGTAACTGAACTGGAGCAAGAGTAAAGAGTTACCTGTGATCAGCATTTAAGATTACTGGTTATGATACAGTCATATTGGATAGATGCCAGGGATATCAATGCATGGTTTATGTATTGACTATTGGGAGACCAATCATGGGCTCACAAGGAGAACTGAGTGGAAGTCCAGGTGATCAGAATGGAAGAGGACCTAGCTCTTTACAAATCTGGGTTATTAGAAAAGTAAAGACATAATTTGGCAAGAAGGAATAAACAATATGGAATAAGAATAATGAGCGTCGCAAGTGTCCCTATTGTATTGTCCAGGGATCACCCACAGCCTATAACCACGTCCATGCTGTCCTTATTTCTTTTTAAACCACAGTAAGCTGTACTGCTCAGTCCTATTGACTCTTCACTGTGATGATCAGCTTTAGTGGCTAAGAGGAACATAGAAAGGAGAGGAAAGGGATTCAGTCAGTACAAAAGTACTATGAAGTTGAACCTTTCATATTATGGGGGCCCAGGATTTAGAGGTACATTGCCAGAGCCTTTTGCATACCTCTATGGTGCTAGGAGTTGTACTTTGAGACTTGTAGTCTAAGGAAGGGATCTGCTCTCTGTAAATATTCCCAAAATAGAAATGTCCAGTTTACAGTATCACGTTCACTGCTTTAAAAAATAAACCCTATTATAACTTGTTATTATTATATGCAAAATAGTAAATGAGCCATCCCAAGTTTCATAAGAAAAAAGTGCAATATGATATAATGCCACCAGGTGGTAGTATTTTCCTCTGCAGTGCAACAAAATAGCTGTGGGAATCTTCTATACCAGGGGTCAGCAACCTTAAACACTCAAAGAGCCATTTGGACCCGTTTCCCACAGAAAAGAAAACACCGGGAGCCACAAAACCCTTTTGACATGTAAAATGAAGATAACACTCCATGTATTGTTTTTTACCGTTGTGCTATGTATAGCATGTATATACCGTAGGTATATGTGGGTTTAGTAACGCACTGGACTCTGGGCTTAGTAACGCACTGGACTCTGGGCTTAGTAACGCACTGGACTCTGGGCTTAGTAACGCACTGGACTCTGGGCTTACCTGAGACCCTGCAGAGCCCACCTGAGAGTGACCCTGCAGAGCAGAGCGCACGATAGATTCCACACAGCCCATCTGTAACTCTCTATGGTGGACTCTGCCCCCCTCCACCCCGCTCCTCATTCGGACTCACAGCCAGCGTCCCATCCAGATGGTGTGCACTGCAGGGGGCGGGGCATATGACACACACTTCTCTCCCGCCGCCTGTTACTAGGGACGCGGCCGGGAGAGGAGGCGAGTCACAGGATCAGCCCCTTGCTGAGAAGCCAGTCGGCAGTGCGGGACCCTGCACTGCCGCATATTAAACCGGGGGGGTTGTCCAGGACCGGACCTCACTGGGCCCCCCACAGCCTCAGGCCCCGGCGGTAGTTCCACCCCTGGACAGGGAGCCGCAGCAGAGGGATGAAAGAGCCACATGCGGCTCCAGAGCCGCGGGTTGCTGACCCCTGTCCTATACCATGAATACAAACCATAGGTATACTCTGCTCTCCTTAGCATGCATCATTGACTTTCACAAATTCAAACTTAGAAATGTCATACTGACAACTGCGCTTTTATTTTTAGATGTTATCATTTTTAACAAAATCCCGATTCTTGCAGTGTTTGAGACTAATTGGAGAGAGAAGACAATAATAAAAGTTTTCTTCTATAAATTATTCAATAGCTGCATTATAAAAGCAGAACTCCAACTAAAAAAGTATAGCTGTATGTATAATTACCTAATTAACACTGCCTTGTTTTTCATTTCCCTTACCTGCCTGTAATAGCAATAAAAAATATTCCTTGAATATTCCAAAGAGGTTAATACAGTACTTTTGGCTGTGGGACAGTAGGTTTTGCACAGCCTCTTCCTGTCTTATGGCCACTACAGAGGTGAGGTCATGCCATGAGGAACATTGATGCAGCTATAGGCTGTGGGGTGATCAAATTGTATACTTTCCTTTCCGTAATTTCTTTCCTGGTATATCTTCATGACATCATAAAATGTGGGTGGAGCCATAACCTGGTGTTTGCTGCCATGATGCCCCAGGAAAACAGAAAATACTATACTCACCTTTCTGCAATTTTCCTTTCCTGGTGCATCTTCATGGTAACATACACTGGGTTATGGCTCCACTCCTAATATATGCTGCCATGATACACCAGGAAAACACACTATTCCCCAGTCACTGCCTGTCACCACCCGCAGACATGCCCGAAACTACACTTGAGTCCCAAAGAATCAGGTGACATGTAGTTTCCAGATATAAAGATCCAGAAGATCTTCCAAGCACCCTGGGCTTTCGAGAAGCTGGGGAGAGAAATGATGATGTCACACAGGTATTCCTAAACTTTTTCTATTGTGATAGAGGCTAATATTTAGAAAATGAATTGAGTGGGTGTAGTGGGCGTTGAGAGAGATAACATACTTGGGGGAGCTGGAACCAATCCTTTCACAGAGAAAATGTTTCAATGTACCTTTAAAGAAATAAGCTCTCTCCTGGCCTTGGTAGTTATTGGCAGGCAAGGTAAAAGCAGCATCAATATCACTTGGTATGTTGCTGAAACCGACTTTAATGTCCCGAGGATATTCCAAATCCAGAACTCCATCTGAGAATCTCCAGTACTGTGTACCCTACAGTATGAAGAGATAGGTGTGAGGATGAGGTTGATGAATGTGATACAAGACCATACAAAATGAAATTATCAGCAGAGACTGGTCTGCCAGACACTTATTACTGTCTGTAATAAAAACATGATGACAAGAATATGCTATTGTATTAATATGCAAGATGCAGTTTGGGCTTCAATGGCTGCCTTCTTGTTCCATGTCAGTGGCTCACTAGGCAATGAACCAACATCAGGATGACAGCAATGATAGCTTCCATATTTCTACCCTTACAGAGTCCAGTATTGGAAATATATGTTACACAGGTTTCTTTTTTTTGCTATCTCTGTTGATAGGCACAAGTTAAAAGCAAAACTGTGATCTGAAGAGGGATGTAAAAGACAACTTACAGGTACTAATTGTGAGATGTAACAGACTGGGCAGAATGTCACCCATGTTACAGCCATGGAACTGGTTTCACTTTTTCATTGCTGCCGGAAGAAAGGAGGTGTGATAAGAGGGAATTGGATAGGGTGGGGAAGGATGTATTCCTGGCCCTCCATTTCAAGCACATGAAAAAACAGAGAAAGCGAAGATCATATGTATTATGTAAGAGAAAAGAACACTTTTTGTTTCCTTTAGCAGCATTGGAGGGTTATTCTGACTAGGGCTGCAACAACTAATCGACATAATCGATTATAATCGATTATTGAAAAAGTTGTCAACTTTTTCAATAATCGATTAATCGGCTTCCGATTAGTTGGCCCTGTTCACGGCTCCACACATGCTGCGCGCCGCACCTCCTCCCCAACTCACGCTCACCGCTGCCAGACCTGCCCGCCCGCATCCACGCTCTACACGCCGCACCTCCTTCCCAACTCACACTCACCACCCGCCCACATCCACGATCGGCACAGGGACGCGGGGAGATGTAGTAAGGAGGAGCAGGTGTGGGGGTATGACAGCCGCCGATAGACAGGCCCGATCTCAGAAGCAAGTTGCTGGAAGACTGCTCAGGTAAGCCTGCACTTTCCCACACATGGTGCTCTATAATGTATTGCTGGGATTTGTATTCCTCTATAGCTGATGGTACATTGTGCTGTATATTATACATAGGAATACAAATCCCAGCAATACATTATACACTGTATGTATAATGTATTGCTGGGATTTGTTGTACTCCTCTATAGTTGGTGATATTCTGCACTGCGCTGTATAGAGGACTACAAATCCCAGCAATAATACATTATACAGTGGTGCAATGCGGAATACCACTAGCTATAGAGGACTACAAAACCCAGCAACAGTACATTATACAGCGCAATGCAGAATACCGCCAGCTATAATGTACTATTGCTGGGATTTGTTGTGCTCCTCTATAGCTGGTGATATTCTGCATTGCGCTGTATAATGAACTATTGCTGGGATTTGTAGTCCTCTATAGCCGGTGCCATTCTGCATTGATTGCTGTATAATTTTAAACTTTCCATTTCACTATATTGCACACCACACTTTTTTTTTTACTTCCACCGCTCCAAAGCTGGCTCCTGTGATGGACTACAATCTCAAAACAAACTAGTAGTCCATCACTGGAGCCATTTTTAAAAATGTATTTTATTGTTTATCCGATTAACCGATTAATCGAACTTAATAATCGGCTAACTAATCGATTTTGAAAATAATCGTTAGCTGCAGCTCTAATTCTGACTCTGATTGTTGTATTACCAATTTATCCCTTGCTGAGACCGCTATGCCTGGCCTGTATCAGCAGATATAATCACCTGGTGCAATAACCAGAATGACCACAAGATGTCAGTATATGAATTAGCCATATCATATCAATGAGCAAATGGCTTAAGGAAAATAAACTATATGAATTCTCATTTACAGACATCTCAACTCTCCCGGAAGCTCCGGGAGTCTCCCGCTATTAGATAGCGGCTCCCGGCTGCCCGGGAGAGAAACATTTTCTCCCGGAAAGGTTTAATCTGCTCTATCAAGCAGATTAAACCTTTCCCTGCGATCGTTTTTTTTTTTCTTTTCTGACATCGGGAGCCGCGGCCCGACCGTCAGTCAGAAAAGAAAAAAAAAGGCATACGATTGCATAGCTAGATTCCTATTGGCTACTGCACTTTGCAGACTTAGCAAACTAGCTAATGCACCCGCCCACTGCTGCTGTCAATCAGCAGAGGGGGACCTGAATTTTTCTATCAGGTCCTCTTCTGCTGATTGAAAGCAGCAGTGGGCGGGTGCATTACCTAGTTTCCTATTGGCTATTGCAAAGTGCAATAGCCAATAGGAATCTAGCTATGCAATCGTATGCCTTTTTTTTTTTTTAATTCTGACGACTGCAACTGTCAGAATAAAAGAAAAAAAAAAGAAAAGCCTGCAGATAGCAAAGAAGCTATTGCTTCCTGTGCTATCTGCCATCATTTCAGGGGGGTTCTCTCTACCCTGCATTTAAGATAAATAACTATGAATGCCAACTATTTCTATCAATGTGTCATATTTATACAACTGTGTAACAGGACAAGTATTCTTGCACATGTTCAACTTTTCACACTCCCTCTCTAATGTTCTCCTCAGTGTTTCACTCAGAAACTGCAGGACATCACCTCCTGTTTACTGTCAGCATAACTTGAGGGTTCTTGCATGCAGTCAGCTTTACAACCTCATGGTTCATGCACCAAGTCCTTCTCTCCTCCTTCACTTGGACATTCTCCTTTTTACAGTGTTACTTTTTCCTCCTTTATGGCTGCCTCTATCAGCATTCATTGTCATCCTGTGCCGTATTGAAGTTCACAGACTTCAGAGTGATTGCATTCCCAAAATGTGAAGGCAGTGGGCCACCCACATTTAGAGCACACACAGTCTGAACCTGCGCAGACGGACCACACACGGTAAGAGCATGCACAGAGAGACCACAAACAATCGGAAGAAAGGCATACAGAAAACACACAGAATACACAGACAGATCAAACACTGTGAGACCACACACAATCAAAGCACAGATAGAGCATGCGCCATAATCAGAGCATGCATAGCCACAGCACACAATAAACATGCACTGACACACAGACAAAACATGCAAAGTCAGCTCACACACAGACAAAGAAGACATACACAACAGCTAGAGCAACATATACACAACAGACACTACATATATACAGAGCACACAAACCAGATCACATACTGACAAACAACAGTAACATTCACCATATTTATTCCCAGATATTTTTTTGTACAAGTCATTCTGAATTGAGAAAGCTGGTTGGATGACCAGTGAAACGTCTACAAGAAAAATACAGCAAGTCCAGTTGCCTTGACTTATTTTTTACAGATATACCATGACCTGGATGAATGAGAACCTTCACAGACATACTGACAACTTGCACACACACATTCTGAAGTATAAGAAATTGGTACACTTTCCTAGTAGTATTATAGGATAGCATTACATAGTTACATAGTATTTGAGGTTGAATAAAGACATATGTCCATCGAGTCCAACCTATTTGTGTATGTGTGCACGGTCCTACTGGTGTGTGGTATGTATAGGTCGCTGTATGTTCTCAATCTTAAGAGTACTTGTACCCCTGTATATTATGGTCCCTGAGGAAATCGTCCAATCGCCTCTTGAATGATTCAACACTCTCAGCCGAAATCACAGTATGTGGCAGCGAGTTCCAGACCTTGACCGATCTAACTGAGAAGAAACCCCTTCGCCCCTTGTGCTGACATTTTTTCTACACCTATTTTAAGTGGTGGCCTCTCGTCCTTGTCATTGAGTTAATTGTAAAATGTTTGCTGCTAATGTTACCATCCCCGGTAAACATTTTATACATGAAAATCATGTCCCCCCTTAATCTCCTTACTTCCAAGGAAAGCATGTTTAATTTTAGGAGCCTGTTCTCATAGCTCAGGTCCTCCATCCCCTGTATGAGTTTGGTTGCCTTCCTCTGGACTCTTTCCAGTTCAAGGACATCCCCTCTGTTCACTGGTGCCCAAAACTGGACCGCGTACTCTAGATGAGGCCGAACCAGTGATCTGTATAGTGGCACAATTACGGACTTGTCCCTACACAACATTCCCCTCTTAATACAGGGCAGGACCATACTTGCTTTGTTTACCGCAAGCTGCAAGCTATTATTCAGACTGTGGTCTACAATGACGCCCAGATCTGTTTCCCTTTCGGACTTCCCCAGCGGAGCTCCCATTAGTGTGTAATTTGTTTTGTTGTTTTTAACCCCAAAGTGCGCAACTCTACATTTATCTACATTAAACCTCATCTGCTTTACAGTTGCCCACTCCCCAATTTTGGATTTGTTATAGCGTCTGATTCAGTGGCTATTCCCATCCTGATTTTGGTATCATCAGCAAACATTGAAACATGGCTGTTTACCCCCTCCTCAATATCGTTAATGAATAGGTTATGATTTTTATATTCAACCATATTTTTACATGTACTTTTCACATTATAGTATAATAATAAAAGTACCCAAATAATGGGTATTACTAACACAACTGTACCTTTTCTTGCAGATTGCCTGACTTTGTATAAGTGCATTTAGAGTACTGTAACTAAAAGTATTTTATTAGGGTTTTTTTGGCTACAATTGAAGGTTGGCATCTGCATGGTAAGAGTAATAAAATGTGGCTTTTAGTACAGCTATTTTATATTTATAACTGAGTCATTGCTTCACATCTCACTGTGTGTGCAAACCTCTGGAGTCACATCATGTCAGCTTCATGCATTAGTGAAAATGCTCCTGTCAACCTCTAGGGGGTTTCATACATTAACTATCCCAGCCTTTCTCCACTTTTTTTTAACATGGAGGGGACCTTGAAATAACTTCTGAATCTCAGGGAAATCCTAATAATAATTACTATAGCTACAGCTATCAGCAAGCATGATCAGCAAGTTGCGATATATGAATAAATAAAAGAATAAGACATGTGGGATACTTAAAGTGTTTAACACCCAGGGCTCCTCTATATAACATCATTATTTTCAGTAATAATAATTAAACAAATAATAAAACATGCCATAAAAGAAATGCAGACAGTGAAAATGGTAGCATTCTCTCACATTCTCTTCACAGTCCGTAGAAAAGTATCCCCTTACATTCGTGGTCAGTAACGAGCCACTTTAGATTCATGATCCTCTGAGAAGGACTAGCTTACATTGGTGACCATTAGGAGAGAGCCTCCCCCTTACACTGGTGATCAATGAGAGAAGGGGCTTGTCAGGAACTGGATCTGAACCCAGGGCCTCTGCTGTAGCTGGTGGTGGTTCTTTCTGCTGAGCCACCGTAGAACCTTGGATAGCTCTTTGCCTGATCTCCTGTGTAGTCCTCAATTACACCTAATTTCTGCTGAACTCCTTCCTCCTCCCTTGAACTTCCTATTTAAGCCATGCCTCTGCACTTCCTCTTTGCCAGATTATTGTGCTCCTGCCATTATCTTACTTCCTGCTCCCTCTGTAGTACAATCTACTCATACCGCTTCCCGTGTACCGACCTTTGGCTGCTGATTCACCGACTACTTTCTCCGTCTCCTGCTACATACCTGATACCTTTGGCTCCTGACCTCGGCTTGTTCACTGACTACGCTTCTGCCTGCTCCTATACCTCTACCGTCTGCTTGTGTACCAAGGCCGGCCTGTTATACTACGAATTGCCTGCTGCTTCAGCTGCTGGACTCTGAGCTTGATCCCAGATCGTGACAGGCCTGTTACAATGATGGTCAGTGGTAGAAGAGCCCCATTGCATTTTTTGGTCATTGCGAAGATTGCCCCTTACATTGGTGGTCAGTGGGAAGAATACCCCTGACATTAGTGATCAGTGGGAAAAATGTCCCCCTTACAGACGATTAAACAAATCATTGGTGTCAGTGGTTACTGATTTGAGAGGAAAAATTTTCTCATCTGTTAAGAAACCCCCACCAAACACTGGAGGACCCTAAGATACTATGAGTAACCCTGGCTGGAAAAAGCTGATGCTATGCTCTGGGTCTGGCATGCACATGCAGGTCCAGATTTCAGACAAGGCCACTGGGGCTCGGTCTCGGGGCAGCAGGGAGCAGAGAGGCGGCAGTAGAATCTCCTGACACACCGGGACATGCAGTTCCGGGCACCGGGCGGGTAGTTGTTTTCTTCATTTTACACTGCTTTGGTGCAAGCAGGGCTAAATGTAGAGCGGGGAAGCTGCTTGTTTGTTTACAAGTGATCTCGGCAATGTCGCCAAAATCACTTGTAATAAGACAGCAGGTTCGTCCCCCCCCCCCCCCCGCGCAGTGTACCTGTCTCCTCGCTGGCCGCTTATCTCTGGTGATCTTTAGGATGCAGAACAGGGAGCAGAGCAGAGAACGCTCCATTCTCCGCTCTGCTCCATGTAAACAGTGAGAGGGGAGAGCTACACTCACAGCCTTCCCACCTCAGCCCCCCTCAGCAGTGCTGTGCTAGAACTCCTGTATTGGAGGTGACAGGTTCATTAGAGTTAAGTGGGGGAAAAAATCGTTTTTTAAAAATAAAAAAACTGATTAAAAAATAAATAAATAAAAATGTAAAAAATATGTAAAAAAAAAATAAAAGCTGATTTAAAAAGTAAAAAATAAGAAAAAAATTATATAACAATAAAAAAGATAAATGAAAATGTAAAAAATAAATAAAAATTAAACAAATTAAAAAACAGTGATAAAAAAGTAAAAAAATTAAAAAATATTAAAACTAACCCTGCCGCCCCCGCCATCTGGTTGCCATTCTCCATTAGGAGAGTATTTGCATATACCATCAAAGCCCCCTTAAATGGAATTCCCTATATGGAATTAATATATATATATATATCTAAGGATGGGGGTATCCATCCTTTGGTGGTTTGTTTGGTTACCACATCAGGCATGCATCCACTGTCTCTGCATGGGGTTGGTAAGAGTAATAATTATTGATTACTGTTGATCTGGCCACAATGTAATTTTGCATGATCAGACAACTTATATTGTCTTTTTACAATTACATCTGATTGCCTCCTCTCCTGACGAAGCGCGGTATATTCGCGAAATGTGTTGAATACTTACTATCGTCCACTCCTTGAGTTCCAGCTAAGGCTATGATTTGTTGATACCAATTATGTCTACCATGTATTTTCAGTGATGTATTTATTATCATGCCATTTTGTATGATATATTTATGAATTTCAATCATGTTATATGCCAATTCAATAATGCCTTAATCATCTATACTCTGGAACAGGGTGGACATTGGAGGCTTCTACCTTATTTAGTTTTTTATCATGGCCATATCTTATATTTTTAATCATGAATTAATAAAATAACACTTTTAATGAATTTTGAAATTATGTGACTTAAAACCCCCACTTTCCTCTATGCTATTTTTCTCTGTTACATCTATATTAAACCAGCAGATATTAGAAAGATACCACTTTACACAGTGAAAAGATTTTTTTCCTTTCTTTTCAGCTGACATTTTGAATCCTCCCACTTGTAGACGCAAATGCTCTACTTACAGTATTTAGCCTTGCAGCACTGATGTCAGTTGTCTGCTCTGCAGGTTTTGTGCAGTACTTCTATATGGTGAAATGTCTAAAGACATTTTGATCAGTAATGAACTGAAAACAAAAGTGGCTGGGGCAGATATCTTTGAAAATACAGACAGACCTTTTTCTACTTATGATCTGAACTGGAATTACTGTATTCATATCTAATTGTAACATCAGATAGTGCCTAGGCAATTCAGGGTCTAGCTTCTGTAATTATCACAAGAATTAAGTCTGTTGCCCACAATTTTTGTTCAACAGGTCAATGTCTACTCCAAACAGAATGTCTGGCTGGAATCTATGCCTGTAGAATGAAAAAAAGCAAGTTAGGTACCTAGTAACTTCTTTTCCAGGAATCTTCCAGGGCAGCACCTGAATCCCTGCTGCCCTGGAAGATGACTTGGGAAAAAGCAAGTTAGGTATCTGGTAACTTCTTTTCCAGGAATCTTTCAGGGCAGCAGGGATTCAGGTGCTGCCCTGGAAGATGACATGGGAAAAATGTATTTAGTTCAAAGGTGAAAATTGTCATTCATGTTAAATGTATTGCCTTGAATGCATGGCTTTTCAGGCAACTTTGCCATGAAATGGACAGCAACTACGACTTCTTGTGATTGTTTTTTAGTGGTTCATTTCCTAAATAAAGAAAAGGTGCTGGTGCAAGTTTTCAAAATATGCAGTGAAGTCCATATGTCTCTTATAGCTCACAGGTGACTGCATATGGGGTACATAGTCCAAAAAAGGTGAGAACCTCTGTTTTAAATGGAATACTAACTGGTCTTACCTTAAACATGTAGGTCTTCCCCTGGCAGTTTATGCGAGTGAAGGCAGCATCTATTGGTCCTTCTATGCCCCATACATCCTTGATGAGCTTTGGGTAGCCATCTAGTGCTTTATTATCATCAAGTTCATAGAAGTATTTACCTGATGGAGAATTGGAGATTTATTCAGTGCACACTCATCTATTTGTTCCTTTATGTTTATCTACTGTGGCTTTTTTTCTTTACATTTCATTCTCAGGGAGCTCTCTCCATTCCCTCTGGAGAAAAATACAGTCTCATAACGGATGTTTTTTTACATTTTCAAGATAATTGTAGCATTTCTCCACCATTCTGAGCTTATACAGAAGGAACTGAGACACTCTCTTACTCCAACCATCTCATGTGAAGCTTCAGGAACTGGAGAAATAAATAGGAGAGAGACAAAGAGGCTTTCTAGAAGATGCTCTCTGACAAAAGATATTCGTATCTTGCTTCCCTCCCTTCCTTCCATAGGTGCAACATTATCTTATGTTTCTTCATACCTCGGAAAGCATACATAGAGCCATTTTTGAAGTTTGTAAATGCATCAAATGGCTTGCCACTGCACAGCTCCTCTGGGGTGTCATCAGGTACAGCAACGTCCTCCACGGTCTCTTCTGTTGGCCTCTCAATCACAGGTGTGGTTTCTGTAAAGTTTTCTACGGGTGTTGTTACTTGGGTCAGGAGATCTGACTCTTGTTCATCTTCAGGGACAAAAAATACATCTCCACGGGTGTCTGTCATAAACAAGTAATAATATATCACATGAATGAAACTCATCACATCGATATTCACATACACGCATATGTGTCACAAATGCTGCAATGCAAGAAAGGGGGTTCAGGCTGCCAAATATAATGCGATTACTTGTGATGTCATTTAGTTGTGTTCATTATTAATACAATTTTGCCACAAATTTTTATATGACCTACTTTGAAATAATTTATAATAAAACTTGTGTTGTGCTGTCATTATGACATTGTTTTAACTTTTGTCTCTGACAGTGGAATGCACAATATTATTTTGGTTGTGATTCAATGTGTTGTCACTTGTATAACCTTTGAGAGTGATGTAATTCATTGTGTTATATACTGTATTATATGTAATCTATAAGGTCAATCTTATAAGCATCATTCACAATTAAATTTTATGTTAATTATTATTTTACCATCTGTGAATGGCATACAAGAGGTCAGATAATGTAAGGTCAAATGAGATATAACACATTGCGTTGTAGTAATTTTAATACCCTTTGGTTATTTTACTTTTCCCAAAATGTGGGTTTATGTCATCTGTTTTGGTTGTCACCAGATACCACATGCTCTGACATAATCTGCAATACCTAGTGTTGTGGCGTTAACCAGATGTGAAGTGACAGCCCAAATGATGTCGACTAATTATTGTATTGTAATTTAATTTACTGTGCTATCATGCTGTCATAAGTGTTATCACATATTTTACTACTACCCTGTAACATGTATGTAGCTTATGCAGCTATTCGTGTCTGAATGTTCAACCTAAATACATTATATGATGGCAAAAGAGGTTAGGAAAAAAAAAGCCAGGTCCATAAACACATAGTATGACAAATTTGTATGGCCTGCACAGAGCCGTAACCTTTGAAATAAAATGGAACACCAATTGCAAGCTGGGTTGTCTCATCAGTACCTGACTTCACCAATGCTCTTTCGGGTTAAATGGGTACAAATGAAAAAGAAAAAGTCCCACATAAAAAAAACAAAAAAAATGTTTTAAGTCCCCCTGCATGCACACGCTTACAAACGTAAATACGCGCCGGGTGTGCCTACCTGCGAAAGCAACCATTACGCCACACAAATTACATATCGCCGCGAACGTTGGAGTGCAAGCAATAATTTCCCGTCACCTCCATGTCAGCACATGAATGGGATAATCCCTTCATCCTCCCCCTAATCAGGATCGTAACTTATAAATTTGAAAGAGTCCCCTGGCTCACCGTTCCTTTTTTTTCCTGATTTATCAATCAATGATAACACTAAACTGATGAGCGGTAAAAGCTTTTAAAGCGACGCCTATGGACAATTTTCAACTTGACCATATAGTGTACTTGTACCTCAACTTAGCTAAATTGTCATGAAGCCAGAACCAGCCTGTGCGGCTGGAGTTCTGGACGGGCACCTACACATGCATGTGCGCATCATCCTGCACAGAGGATTGTGCGTGGCGTGCATCGTGCTCCATGGCGTGCGTGCGGACGTGTAACTTGTAACTCAGTTTGGCAATAAAGTGTACTTGTACCTCAGCTTGGCCATAAAGTGTGCTTGTACCTCATCTTAGCCATATAGTGTACTTGTACCTCAACTTAGCCATATAGTCTACTTGTACCTCAACTTAGCCATATAGTGTACTTGTACCTCAGCTTGGCCATATAGTGTACTTGTACCTCAGCTTGGCCATATAATGTACTTATACCTCAGCTTGGCCATATAGTGTACTTATACCTCAGCTTGGCCATATAATGTACTTATACCTCATCTTGGCCATATAGTGTACTTATACCTCATCTTGGCCATATAGTGTACTTGTACCTCAGCTTGGCCATATAATGTACTTATACCTCAGCTTGGCCATATAGTGTACTTATACCTCAGCTTGGCCATATAGTGTACTTGTACCTCAGCTTGGCCATATAGTGTACTTATACCTCAACTTAGCCATATAGTGTACTTGTACCTCAGCTTAGCCATATAGTGTACATATACCCCAGTTTGGCCATATAGTGTACTTGTACCTCAACTTAGCCATATAGTGTACTTGCACCTCAGCTTGGCCATATAGTTTACTTGTACCTCAACTTGACCATATAGTGTACTTGTAACTCCACTTAGCCATATGGTGTACTTGTACCTCAGTATGGCCATATGGTGTACTTGTACCTCATCTTGGCTATATAGTGTACTTGTACCTCATCTTGCACCTTTAAAATAAGTTGGTAATTGAAGCTCCCATGTTTCTTTTATAACAGGTTCCCTTTAATATGTAAGCACAGGATCCTATGTACACTGATGTGGGTGACGGTGTTTGCTATATGTAGAAATGTTATCACTATTGCGTAGTGAAGACCTTTCTAACAGTACACTTAAGGAAAATGGCAATGCCTCCTGACATATAATCTTACCTTTATTCTTGCAAACCGTACTGAAGTCAATGCAGCAACTTTGGTAGTAATTACATAAATCATCACATTGGCATTTACTTTTGGCATTGAAACCCTCCAAACATCGCCCCACACAGGACTCTGTAAAAGGAATATATGAAACCATAATTGGTTTAAACCAGCAAAACATGCGGAGAGGAGAAGAGGTTAGCCAATAGAGCAATGTCAGGCAACATGGACAACCAATCAGTGATCTGCAAGTGTTATTTAGGAAACACTGTGGTTGTGGTACCTTACATTGGCATAATGTTGTATCCCCAGTGATTTAAAGGTCCCGCTTTCAGCACAGCATCTGATTGGCTGAGACAACTCTGCATTGTGAGCTGGGCCATGTTTTTGCTGCTACACCTTCAGCATGTAATATGTGAGACGGCGGGAAATGTTCTGCTAACTAGTGTGCACGGGTTTGTTCTGTAAATAAGCATTAAATAAGCTGTTGAGGTTTATACAGAGGAGAAGTGTTTACTTTGTTATTGCTCAATAAGCATGCTATTCTACAACTTTTATAGAAAAAATGATTACTGGTCATTCCCTCTTCCCTATATTTACCTATATTTACCTCCTAATGTGCTAAGCTTCGCACATTGCATGATCTGTACACTGTGCATACACATTGAGGGGAAGAAGTCTCCCGGTTTTTAGGAGCTGGGTCATGTCAGTGGTTGCCAGGAGCTCAGCAGCACGCTGGCCAGCACGTTCCAAGTTGCCCAGCTCTGAGCAACCTAGAAAAAGGGGGTGGCAGGCATACCGCCCCCCTCGTGACCCAAACAGATACCACCTGAGTCAACAGCCTCAGACTGCCTCATTACAGGGATGGCCCAGCCTGTGAGTATTCTGATACCATTATGTTTGGGATAATAAAGACACAGTACTCTTCAATGTCATATGCTGAGGAAAACCTGGTACTTCCGGGTATAGTAATCAGTATAGTGTATATGCTTCTATTCAAGTAGGAGCGGACCCATAATTTAAAAGCAGTCCAGGGCCCAAATTACAATTTAAGGAGTTCTAAATTCACCGCATATACAGTACTATCTTCTTATAACATCACCATTGTAATAGGAATAAGTACTAGGAGCTGCTTCAGGTCGGTCCATTTGGATCCGCTGTAAGGGTGCCAGCTCACAACCAGCCACTAAATAAATTGTAACTATAAGGAAATGCGGCACTCCTGTGTCATTTGATGATCAGTGTGCAATCTTTAATTCATCAATCGACATACAGCAAGTGTCTCAGACAAGATATCTAATACATTTCCCGCATACTTGCGCTTAATCATAGAACTATAATTATGCACAAGTATGCGTGAAACACGTTAGAGATTTTTCCTGAGACATATGCTGTATGTCAATTGATGAATTAAAGATTACACACTGATCATCAAATGACACAGGAGTGCCGCATTTCCTTATAGTTACATAGTAATCGGAATATATACTACAGTTGTATATTATAATGCAATCAAAGCTTATTTGAAAAATCCCTTTTATGTAGTGAGTGCTACCTCACACTTTCATCAACTTCCTGGATTCCCAGTGTGCTTTGCGTCTCTTTCCCTGCTGCTTGATATGATGCAATCTCGATTTCTCAAGACTACCTATCCCATCATGCATTGCCTCCAACAAGCAATGATAACGTTACATTGTTCAGACGTTAAGTTGTAGTTCAGATGGCAAGATGGTGGTGTCCAGTAAGTTGATAATTAGGCATCAGGGGATTAGTAGGAAAGAAGTGACTATGGTTACAGCGTGCATCAACGGCGTATGTAAAGCCTGCACAGATAGATATTAAAAGTGATTTTGGAAACATGGTGGAGGAAAGTGGTTGCTTTAAAGGAGAACTATGGGGTCAGGGCGTTTCCCCATAGTTCTCCTAAGAGTAACGGGAGGATACAAACTAGCGTCGCAGCCGAAACGTATCCCGACAATTCTGTCTGGATCCACCCAGCTGCGTGAGTAACAGCTTGCTCTGCCTATCCAGAGGCAGAGCCAGCTGTACCCGACCCCTCCCCTGTCCGTTCCGCCAGTCAGCGCTGGAGGATCGGACAGGGGAGGGGGGATCCCTGCAGGGAGCCGTGAGTGACAGTCACTGCTCTCTGCACGCATAGATCGAGAAGTGAGCGATCGACGGTATGTGTTCGCTCACTTCCCAATCTACTGAGCCGACCTGTGACAGTTTAATTGTCACAGGTCGGCTCAGATTATGAGGCTGAGTGAAAATCATTTGCCTCATAATTCTCCTTTAAGAATTAGTGAAGGATTATTTACTCTCTTGCACCATATCTGTTTGTAGCAGAGGAAAGAACACAGCACAGGGTCTATTGAACCCTACAGAGAGAACAGAGGTTACAGTGCATGGGTGTCTACACTTAGAACAGGAAGCGGTAAAACACTATATAGTTGTATAGGTTGCATTGACGATTATGGAAATTGTACAGATAGTTTTGAGTTAGGGAATTGTATAGATGCATACGCTTCAGTAAGGAGATTTGTATGTGTGCTCTCAGTTTATCAAGCCTTTGTACTGCACCCCCA